CCTGATCCATCAGACCCCACAGCAGAGATAACACTTATTCATTGCTGTGCAAGGCAGTCCAGTGATCTTTAGTTTCCTCTTGCTGCCAGAGATGGCAGTCTCTGATGACTTTGACTTTTGGAGAAGGTAGGCATGCTGTGATGGCTCACCAGTGTGTTTGGGCTTTTTCCCAGAATGTCAGGAAATGCTTAATGATAGACCTCTCTACCCACTATGACTACCTAGCATGGGCAGACTGGGATGCTGTAAGGGGTACAATACATTTGTCCAGCTTAACTCCTGCCAAATAGCCATTGCCACCAGCCAACTGACAAAGCTGAAGAAGATCTAGACAATCAGCAGTATTATACTGAAGGTAAAGTTACATCTGCTGCATGCTATGGTCATCTTCACAGTGTTTTATGGCTGAGAGACATGGACACTTAATAAGTTAGAGAAGAGAATAGAGGCATTTGAAATGCATTACTTTAGGAGATTGCTGTGTGTCTTGTATGCTGAGCCAGACCAATGAGTCTGTCAAAAAGCAAATTACTCAAGAAATTGAAACCTACAAACTGTTGTTGGAGGTTGTGCGACGAAGGAAGCTGCAGTGGTTTGGACATATCATGAGAAGGCTGGACACCCTTGCCAACACCACCATGCAGGGTACAGTGGAAGGAAAGAGAAAAAGAGGTACACCCAAGAAGAGCTGGGGAACCAATATTAAAGACTGGATGGGCATCAACTGACAGAGTGCACAAAGCTAGCCAAATGTGGGACAGAGTGGAGGAGGGTTGTTACAGCATCTAAGGTTCCTCAATGGTTGCAGCAGCCTTGGAACTGACTTGACTTGACTTGACCTAACTCTTGACTAGTAACTTGCAAAGGCTGAAGACCGGAGGTTGCTGCACCACTCAGAACACATGACTTGAAATTGCAAAGGGAGCAAGTGTTCCCCTCCTCCATCTGCTCCTGCCTTGAGGGGATCAGTCAGCTGCTGCTGTGAAGAGCCCACAACTGTACAAGCTGTATTCAGCATAGCTAAAAACTTTGGGGTGGGGGTCTGCCACTACTTTTTCCCATCCTCTCCCATCCCATTCTGTGTGGACTCAGGGTCCCTGACCCACCCTGTGACCCCTTCCACTGGGAAATGACCTTTGACAGCACAAACTGAGTTTGGTAGGATGAAGGACCAAAGGGAGTTTGAACTGATTTTTGGGGCCAGGATTAGCATTTAGAAGAGTTGGAGATGGTACAGCCAACACTGTGGTCATATATAGGGGGGCCCTGAACTGCAATGGTAGTTTGCAACAAGTAACCTGATGATTTTAAAGCCACTTGTTTTCCCTTTTCCTTGTCGTCCGGCTTACACTTGTTTATAATAAAGTGCTTTTATCCCTGATGAGTTGTTTGCATGGGAGTGGAGGCCATCACTGCTGTTTTCTCAAGGCAGGAGCCAAGATGAAAATCTGAAGGTGCTGGCAAAGGAGGTGTGCTGTAATAACAGTATATTGTTCTAATATCTGAGCATGAAGCTCTGCTCATGAGGCTAGGTGTTGCAGGGAGGGTCCCTATAGCTGTGCAGCACTGTGATTTGTGTTTCTGGTAAGTGGATGAATGAGTGGGTACGTGGGCAATTTATCTTACATGTCATCAGTCAGTGCCTAACTGAATTGGAACTCACAACACAGTGATGGTTTACTGCCTGTTAAAGATGCTTCTCCAAAAAGCAGTGTTGTTTCCACTTTATCTCCAGGTACTAGCTATTAGCACACCACACTTGCATGAGGGACCATCTTAAAGCACAGCCATGTGGTTCAAGCACAGACCCAAACCACAACTTTTGGGGGGTGGGAGGAGGGAAAGGGGGCAGCTGTTATTTACCACCCACCAAGCCAGTGAGGATGCACTGGAAATGCTCTGGCACCTTGCCTATAAACCTGCCCTCACCATCATTGCTTTATTTCTCCTTACCCAACTCAAATAGTGGGCTATGACTTACCATTACCAGAAGCAGTTGTCCTGTCATGGTCTGGGTCTTCTGGGGCATCAGGTCTCTGTTGGGAGAGGGCTAGCTCAAATGCTGAAAATGGGGGGACAGCAAAAAACTGGTGTATATTCAAACCCAGTGTCCATTTAAGAGTTTGCAAGGCTTGGCAGAATGGCCAGCAGGTCTGTGATATGGCTCATAGTAGAGGTGCACCGATATGTCGGTCTATATCAGATCAGCACTGATAAAAGGAAAATTGACATTATCAACAACTGGCTTTTTTTTGCCGGTGTAGCTGATTGATGTCACCAATAAATGCTGCGCGCAGCCGCAGCATGTACATGGCCAGGAATGCAGCCCGGCAGCTTGGAGAGCAGCGTCTGGGTGGTAAGTCTATAGGGGGGAAGGGGAATGGGGCAAGATTGAGGTCCCTCAAGGTGAGGGAGGGCGTGGGGCAGGAGCTGCCCAGCTAGGGCAGGTCAAGGGATGGAGCCACAGGCAGCTTTTGGGTGAGGGCAGGAGGGCAGCTCCCCGCCTCCACGCACACCCCTGGGGGAGACACAGGAGGCATGTGCCTCCTGGATTTGTGCGCAGCGTGAGGGCAGGTTGCCCGTTGCGGGCTTGGAGCTGGAGGCTGCACCAGCTTCTTCCTGGCTGGGGGCTGCACTTGGCCTGGGCGGGGGTTGCATTGAGAGGGGGGCTACAGGGTGGGTTACAAGCACCCCCAAATTTGCTGTAGCCCCCCTCCCAGCACCACCACCACCTGCCCTGCCCCGAGCACAGCCCTTGCACAATCAATCTGCAGGGAACAGGCTGGCGCAGTCCCTGATGCCGATTCCACAGCGAGCAGCCTGCCCTTGCTATGCATAAAAATCTGGGGGGGGCACATGTCCCCCATCCCTCACCCGGGAGTGTGTGCAGTGGTGGGGAGCTGCCCCCCCCCCCCCCCCCCACCAACAGTGGCTTCGCGAG